ACTGTGGTGGTGTCATCGAAGGTCATGTAACTGTGGTGGTGTCGCCGAAGGTTGTGTAAATGTGGCGATGTCGCTATGGAGTTTTCATTGTAAATGTGTCACTGTGACCGGCAGCGGTGGTGATTGGCGGCGGCAGCAGTGACGACACTGATACGGATGATGGCGGTGGAGATGTCACTGCAGATATGTCACTGTGGCCGGTGATGACGGATATGTTACTGTCGAGATTAACTTCGAAAGTAGCACTACAGAAATGTCATTATGCATTAGTCACATTTTTGTCTAAATATAAATGTGATCAACTTTTGGAAATTAATTTTAGTTTAGTACGGAGTAATATTAAGAGAAAAATCCCATAATAGGACATCAAAAATTTAATTGCTCTCATCGTCCCACGGCTTACACGCGTGTTAAAACTCGGGAGTCGAGGTACTCAAGGGAAAATTATACCGTACACCCGGATGTACGGTTCTCACCGTACATCCGGGTATTTTTGAAATTATTATCAACTTCTCTATCTGATGATTCAAGCTTCCGTTGCTTCTTTCATGGAGCCGGAGTCCGCTAGCGTGCCCTGTTCTCCGCTCGAAGGAGTATGGCTTCAAATTGGGGAAAACGGAAAACTTACTCAAATTGGACGAAACCGGTGTCAAAAGCTTCACCTCACCAAGACGAGTCCAGAATAACTCTCAGAATTTGATTTAAACGTGTCATTTGGGAGCTACGAACAAAAAACCAGACTGCTCTGAACAGTGGTGCGCACAACGGCTCTTTGCTAACTCCGGCCAAACAGCACCTCCGGCCACCGGAAAAAGGTTGGGGAGGTGCGCCTAGAGGTGGCGACCCCCACAACACTCTTTGATTCCAACAATAACTATCAAATTTTGGATTAAAGACCAAAAAATCAAAACTATGAATAGTAAAATTGTTGCACACAAATCTTCAGAAATCCTTCGTTTTCCAGCTAAAAACCCCAAATCTTCCAAATCCAATCGGTGGAAAAGAAAGAGGAGGAAAATCCGAGCTAGGAGAAACAAGATTTAGGAAGAAAGATCGATCAAAAGAGCCAAAAGAGAGCAGCTAAGTCCGAGCAAGCTAAGAGGAAAAAAGATCGTTGGAAAATTTTGCTTCTCAGTCAGAGAAGCTCCCGTGCGCAGACTCAATGTGTCTTTAAGCAATGTGCCTTTTTTTCTATTTTTCTAGTTCCCTCCTTACGATCTTGTTTTTCTATATCTCATTTTATAAGTTATACATGCTCATTTAATTTTCGTTTTATGCTCATTTTAAAATGTCATATCCATTGTTCTAAAACTCGCTAGGCGCTAGTCGGGCGGTTGTGGGGCGTCTAGCGCCTAGGCGGCTGACTAAGCCGATTTTTTGGCCGACTAGGCCGATTTTTTGACCGACTAGGCCGACTAGGCCTCTACCGTTAGGACCGACTAGGCCAACTAGACAGATTAATCAGTCCGACTAGGCCGATTTTTAGAACACTGGTCATATCAATACACAAATGAATATTGAACACATATTGAGCACAATAGAAATGAATTTTATGTTAAATTCAAATGAGTATAACGTACAAATTGAATGAGCACACAAAAATGCGTTTTTAAATTTTTTGATACTCATTTCGTAAGTTATGCATGCTCATTTGGTAATAATGGTATACTCATTTAACAGAAAGCTTGATTTACATCTCAATAAATGAGGTTTGGTGCTCAATGAACATATCGTTATGTTAAGCTAACAAATCTTACGATTTTCATATCAATAAACATTTTATAGGTTACATATACTCATTTGGTACCGATGTTATGCTCATTTTAAAATGTTATATCAATGCATATTTTAAAAGTATCATATTGCATTAAATTCGCATATAGAAATTCATAGGAGTGTATTATAGATATAATTCAATTACTTTTTATAAAAGAAAAAATAAGGAAAAAAATTGAATTAATATTTGGTAAAGTTTGTGTGGTTCTAAACCATTCTTACTTTATTCTTACTTTATCAATTAATATCAACCACACAACCCCACTTTTCTTAATAATCGTGTCACTCTCTTCCGACCCAATATAAGAGGGACGGAGATAGTATGAAGCAAAAATCAGGATACTCATTGTTAGCCTCCAAATACTCAATAAAATAGGTCAGGTGCTCACTACATGTACACTATTGCTCATTTAGCTAAAACCATGACTTTTTACTTAAATTACCAAAATGCCACCGATTTTTTTTTGTCTTGTATTCATTGTTGGACTATCTTTCTTATTTGGGCCTGGTGTACATACACCCGGATCACCATATACGAACTCGTACTCAAGGACAAAGGAAACTTTTACACGTTGCTTTTCATTTTCGGTGAAGTCATTCTCGAACTAAATTTTTAAAACAATGACGTATGTAAATTTGTCAAGAAAAGTCAAAGATTCACAAAAATTGTCCGATTAATTCATCTGACTTCATGTTTTTGAATAGATAGATTTAACTATTACTCATGAAATTATGGTTCAACACATCAGAATACAATTAGTGAGTAAAGAACGCCAACAAACACAACAGAAACATAAGCCGCGAGCTAGCTTATGAACGGCAGAATTCACAAACCGCCAAATCGCGAAAAAGAAACACAACCTGTACGGGTAACTCAACTAGTAAAGCGGTGAGAAAGTTAGACAAATAAATAAGGATCGAAACCCGCAACGATCATGTGGAGATCACAGATCCTATGTGTTGGTCTGGGCCTTTGGTGCGCACGTGTATAAGATCTACCACCGTTATGATTGATTAAGTCATCGTGATTTACAACCCCTCATATGTTTTATCGGGTCGGGACGTAGAGGATTCTTGGGATTGAGGATTCAACCTTTTGGACAAACCAAAAAGAAACACTACAAAAACTAGTCGTCACATCTTGAGATCAGTCACATCATTGTCAATAACATAAATAACTTAGGTGGTGTTTACAAACACTTTAAAAAAGCTCATCCCCCTTTTGGCTTAAAAAGCTAAAAGAGTGTTTTTAGGTGACAACTTCTGTTTAAATAAGGGAAATGGAAACTAATAATCCAACCTTTTAGCGGTTTTCTTACAATAGTCTCACTTTTTGATTATTCGGGAATAATCCAATCTTTGCACCCCATCTTCATTCAATGGTCCCTGATCGGTTGATGATCTGCTATTTCAAGTTATTTTCTTATCTTTGCAATATATTATACCATAAATCTCACTTTATAGTCACATAATGTTTAGCAAAGATAAGAAAATAACTTGGAATAGCAGGTCATCTACCGGTCAGGGACCATTGAATGAAAATGGGGTGCAAAGGTTGAATTATTCCTGAATAATCAAAAAGTGAGACTATTGTAAGAAGACCGCTAAAAGGTTGGATTATCAGTTTCTATTTTCCCTTTAAATGAAACATAAAAAGTTCAAAACTAGAATCTGGTTTTTACTTTTTCTATTACACAAAACCACTCAAACATTATCAACTTTTACTTTTCAAAATCATTTTTTTTGAAACACTATCGATTTTTACTACTCCGTATTAAGCATTTTTCCCAAGTTCATTTAAAAAGTGATTTTTTAAAGCACAAGCTATCCCAAACCCTCCGTCAAAGTGTATCAAATCACATCTCAACAACTCGCCTATGCTCTATCAGGTTATGAGAGTATGAGACTGGTGGACTCAATTTTATCTCGCCTATGCTTTATGTGACTTCATGTTAAGCATCCAATTTTATAGTCAAACCCACCCTAGCTATAAAGATTAATGGAATGCGCATAAACTCATATGATTAGGGGTGATCACATCAACCAACTCATATGGAATGTTGAAATAAATACAAAAAATTGCATACGTAGCACTAAAATTCACAAACACACAAATAGTGCAACACAACTAAGAAAAAGTATACCAAAACGATGACGCACGAGATAAATATCATTTTTAATTTACTAAATTCATGTGAAAATATAAAAACGAATATCATCAAATTGTTGAATATAATAGAAATCTTCAACGTTCTTCTTCTTCGTTAGAGTTAAATACTACGTATTACTCTGTAGTTATAATATAATTTATAGTTGAACCTTGAGAGCTAAGATTTAAACCATATTAATTAAGTTGTAAAAATTGCTCAAACATGATACGTCAAAAAGTCATGTACACTACATTACTAGAATTAAATAATCATTAATGATTTCTAAAATTTTAATATTCTTTCAATACATACCAAAATATAACATAAATTATCTAAAAAAATAACAATATATATATATATATATATACACACACACACACACACACACAACACATTTAGATATCTTAGGGACACATGAATACATACTTGAGGTATAAAATTGTTGATCTATAAAAGAATCTATTGATATAGAAAAAATATTAAAAATTCAAATGCATTATTTTCGAACGGTTTGGTCCGGTATTTTTCGATTCTCAAAATCTAGGACCGGTCCCGTACCCTTTCAAATGGTACGGTTTTGGTACGGGATAAAAATCTATAGAACCATTTACATACCTGGTATTCGGTTCGGTACCATTACGGGACAGTTCGGTACCGGTTCGGTTCGGGTTTTATACCCACCCCTACATATGATGAGCCGAGTCACACGGAAGAAATTTCGATTGTCTTTGTTTAATGGAAGGCGCATAAACTCATAAACTTCGGTCCGGTCCGATCCGATCCGATCCGATTTTGAACCGGCGCACACCCCTAGTTATAGGTAGCCCAATTTTTATATTTGTAAATAGTTTTATACTCCGTACTTGTTATAGGTAGCCCATTTTTTTTGTCTAAGTGGCTCATTTTTGAAGATTTAACATCAATCAAGTTTTTTATTATAAACATTAGGGGTGTTTAAAAAAAGAGTGGGTTTTAAACATAATTTGGAATGTTTTGCAAAAACTAGTCTTTGATGTTTTTGTTAGGTATATGATCATAGATTCATAGAGAAATTAAAATGAAAAAGCTAGACACTTTCATTCTTATAACTTTTAGTTTTAAGCTCGTTCTAAGGGTTTTGTTTTTTGGCTATCTAAAAAAAAAGGTTTTTTTTGGCTGAGCTTTCTAAAGTTAGTTTTAAGTTAGTAACGTTTTTTCCCTCCTCCAGCCGCCGAACGCCGTCTCAGCCGTAGCCTTCCCTCTCAGCCGCAGTTGTCCCTCTTAGCCGCAGCTTCTGCTCGCTTCCCTCTCAGATGCCAACGCCAGACGCCACTCAATAGAGGTTATTTTCCAACCTTTTATTTTTACAATTACTTTTTTAATATATTTAATTTTATCAAATTTGTTGAAGATTAGTATTTTTTTCAACATTCGGAGTCTAATTTTATGCAAAAATGGTTTCTTTGTGTCTCATTAAGTGATTTTGTCGAGTTTAATCGTTATTTCGTATTCAAAATTGAAAAGAGTATGCCCTTAATTGATGAACGATGTCGACCAGCCATTAGCAAATAATTCTAACATTCATAAACCGTATTTATTTTGGTCAACGATGATGGTGTCTTATCCTAATCCATTACGGTGAATGTTTCCCTTGAAATTTTGAGCTCACAACAATATAGCAAACCTTTATGTGTGGATTTGGATTGATGTTTACTGATTTTGTGAAGTTAGCGGTGAAGCAACTGTTGACCGGTGAAAATGAAGCATCTCAACTGGTATTTCGTCTCCTACTTCCATCTTACTTCTTCTGCTAGCTTTAGCTTCTTAGCAGTATTTATCTCTGTTTATTTGTTTGTCTTCTACCCCTGCATTATCTGATTTGAATTTCTTTTTTTCCTCTTCAATTTAAAAATCATAAAAAATATATTCTAAGCTTCAAGAAGAGATTTCTTCCTTTATCTGTTTCAATCCGTTTGTATTTGTTATAATTTCATAGATTATGTATGTCATTTTTATGTTCTGAAACCCTCATTTTTTACACTGCTTTTGTTTAGATGCTACAAAACGCTAATATCCTCTGCCCTGTGAAAGGTTTGATACCTGATTAAGAAAAAGGTTTGATTTGGTTTGATCATATCAATCTCAAAGCTTTACTAATACACAAATACTCATATGAGAGCTACATGAAGAAAGATAGAATTGATGTTGCTAAATAGGTATGAAGTTAAGTACATGGAGTATGGTATAGGTTGTGCCAAATGCGTGCTTGGTTTCTATTCTCAAGATATTCAACATATGTTCTCACAAAATAGGAGAACAGTAATTACTTTAGTTGGCTAATGTGGTAATGTTGTGGTTTACTGATATGCCCCTTCTTACTTTCTCTCTATTAATTTCCATTTTGAACAATAGGTTGTAGGCTTCATAGAAAGAGCTTACATTATATTAACATGTGCATATTGACTGATTTTTCTCATTTTTCTGTGTTTTTACCCTCATCACAACTTCATATTTATCTATTTTGTTTAACAGGTGTATTACCGGTTCAACAGCTTCTCACTGCTTAGGGAACCAATGATATTAATTTCTGGATTTTCTTCTTTTTCCTCACATGCATAATTTATATGCATGCTGACTTGACAATCTCAAAGTCTTCTGCTTCTTATTTGGCAAAGAAGCAATGGGATGAGGTTTGGGGCAGATGCTATTGATTTTCGTTTCGGTTGACATTATTGTTTGCTTAGTTATCCAACTAGGATAACATGTTTATTTACTTTGTTTTCCAGGTGCTCAGGAAGTTGAGACCATCATAAGCTCTTGATTGACTATTCATGATAAACTAAAATCATCACTGCGTGATCTCTCAAGGACAGGGGATGTTCAAGCTTGCAAAGCTGCTCGAAAAGAAGCTGAGGGTGTTAGATTATTGGACTTATATTGCATGTAATATTCACAATATTTTATTTATCGGGTTTAATTGTATGTTATATGCTATCTTATATTTAGGCCCAAAAATTAGTGGTCCTATGGATATTAATTTAAGTGGGCTAATAAATTATCTAATAAGGTATAGGGCCCAAATGTGTAGAGACCCATGGGCTTGACCTAATCAATGATGGGCTGATTAGGGTTAAGCACTCTCTATAAATAAGGGGTTATGGTCCCTAGTTGAACACGTCATTCTGTCTTTCTGCATCCCATCGCTAGAGAGATAATCCCGAGGGTGTGTATCAACTAGAAGACACAAACCCTAGCCTCCGTCTCCCGGATCTCTAAAGGTCATCTCCCATGGAGTCAGGTACGCTTCCGCTCAGTTAATTCTCCAGATAATTTCAATATGAAGATTAAAGTATTCATGGATTTATTCCAACAATTGGTATCAGAGCCTCCTTCATATTGAATTATTTGGAATCAGTATCATAGATCCAGATATTTCTAGATCTTGATCTATCGTTATATAATTATGTATAATTAAATGATGTCGCTCTTGGAATTTAATCGTACAATTGATGTCAGATTAGTAGACATCATAAATTATATCGTATTATCGTATATGATTCAATTTTTTGCATATGATGATGGTTGATCGATTTTTTGCGTACAATACAATGATCAATTTAATATCAAATCAATTAAGGATCAAAGTGTGGTTTTGAATTGTCAGTCCACTAGGCAATCATTCTGAATTGAGGATCAAAGTATGTTTTTTTGAATTTTGTATCTACAGACTTATGCTGTTTTGAGTATTGAATTTGGATATGAATTCAATTTTTTGTATTGGCCGTAATGCGGCTGCTACAAAACCTAGGGAAGGAATAACTTTCCTAATCACTATTCGCTGGAACGTTTTAGGATGCATGGGCTTTGTAATGGTTTTAGTTCTTCGGTAATTTAAGAAGTTGCGGAATATTATATGTTTAACCACAATAATTAAATCATATGACTTTGATAATTAAGTACATATATGTAATTATTATCAGTTTTGGTAATTAAATACTTATATGTAATTACGGCCAATATCAGTTTTATTAAAAATGCATGATTTTGCATTACCGGAATATATTATTTTTGGTCGTTGTAATTTGTGGCTTGAAAAATATGTATTGTGTGTCAAACCCTATTTTATGATCGCACAACGATTGGGTATGGGTTTTACAAATTATCGTTATACATAACACATTTACATGTGATTCAGAAAAATTCGCCCAATTTTATTTTCAGATTGTTGATTTAATATTAGCATGTCTAATATTTGGGTTGATTAATTGACACAACATGCTGCCAAAGTAGCCTATCTTGTTGAAATTAATTAACTCATATATTAAGATGATTGTGTACTCTTATTTCATGCGGATAATAATCGGCCCAAAGGAAGGTTATTATTTGGCCGAAATTTAAGTACATTTGTGATAATAAAATTTGTGATGATTATGAAGCTTTTCGTGTGAATATTAAGTCGGTCCAAAGAAAGGCTTAATATTTGACATGATTTTATTATCAAATTTTTTTTATCACACCAAGAGTACCACTTGCAAGTCTAATTTATGCCCAAAGACAAGATTAGATGTTGCGCTAGGTATCTTGTGATGGGGATTGCTAATATTTAAATTTAAAATTAATTATCAAATTAATTTCAGTTCCTAGAGCATATCGTTTATATATTTTTTTGTTCTCTTTCAGTCAATAATTCTGCTGCTACAATATCTGCTAAAATTTATAGCATCCCAGTGCTTAACGACACGAATTTTAAGGAATGGAAAGAGAACGTTATGATCGTTCTCGGCTGCATGGATCTAGACCTTGCACTTCGGACTGAGAAACCCACCGCTCTTAAGGACACATCTACCCTTGATGAAAAGAGGGAGATGGAGAGGTGGGAACGCTCAAACCGCATGAGTCTAATGATCATGAAACGTGCAATTCCAGAATCATTCAGGGGCACAATGTCTGATGAGGCTGATGCAAAATCGTTCCTTGCCGAACTTGAAAAGCGTTTTGCTAAAAACGAAAAGGCGGAAACTAGTACTCTTTTGAGCACTCTTGTTTCCATGAAGTACAAGGGCAAAGGGAACATAAGGGAGTACATTTTGGAAATGTCTCACATTGCTTCAAAACTAAGTGCACTAAAACTTATTTTACCTGAGGAATTGCTTGTGTATTTAGTTTTGATCTCTCTTCCTTCTCAATTTAATCAATTTAAAGTCAGTTACAACTGCATTAAGGAGAAATGGTCTCTCAATGAGCTCATTTCTCATTGTGTTCAAGAGGAAGAGAGAATAAAGCAAGATAAGACAGAAAGTGCTCATTTGGCATCTACCTCTAAGGGCAGCAATAAAAGGAAAATTAAGGAAGCTGCAAATTCGGGGCCTCCCAGGAAGCATCACAAGGAAACTAAGGAAGAAACTAAGGAATCTGGATGCTTCTTTTGCAAAGGGACTAATCACAAGAAAAAGAACTGCACTAAGTACCATGTTTGGCGTGCGAAAAAGGGTATGTCTCTTTCTCTTGTTTGTTCTGAGGTTAATTTAATTTCAGTACCAAAAGACACTTGGTGGGTAGATTCCGGTGCTACTACTCACATAAGTGTATCTATGCAGGGTTGCCTGAGCTGCCGAAAACCAATTGATGGTGAAAGATACATCTATGTCGGTGATGGCAAGCGGGTTGAAGTTGAGGCTATCGGTGTTTTTAGATTATTATTAAAGACTGGTTTTTATTTGGATTTGAAAGAGACATTTGTTGTGCCGTCATTTAGGCGGAATTTAATTTCTATTTCTGCATTGGACAAATTTGGTTATTCTTGTTCATTTGGAAATAGCCAGTTCAGTCTATTTCAAGATTCAAAACTTATTGGCACTGGTCTTTTATCAGTTTATGATAATCTATATTCACTTGATATAAATACCTCATATAATGAAACCTTGCATGTAAGTACTCGTGGTACTAAAAGAAAATTAACCAATGAGAATTCGTTTTCACTTTGGCACAAGCGTCTAGGACATATTTCTAAAGAAAGAATTCAGAGACTTGTGTCAGATGGAATTCTTGATTCTCTTGACTCCTCAAATTCTGATATTTGTGTTGAGTGCGTTAAGGGAAAACAAACGAACAAACGGAGATTAGGTGCCGAGAGAGCTTCAGATCTATTAGAATTGATATATACGGACATTTGTGGACCATTCCATACACCATGTAGAAATGGCCAAACATATTTTATCACATTCATAGATGATTACTCTCGTTATGGTTACCTTTATCTCATTCATGAAAAGTCCCAATCAATAGACATGTTCAAATCTTATAAGGCCGAAGTTGAAAATCAATTAGGCAAAAGAATAAAAACCGTTAGATCTGACCGTGGTGGTGAATACTATGGTAGATATGATGGCTCCGGTGAACAACGTCCAGGGCCCTTTGCTAAATTCCTAGAGGAGTGTGGAATTGTTCCTCAATACACCATGCCAGGAACTCCTAGCATGAATGGTGTTGCTGAGAGACGAAACCGTACATTGAAGGACATGGTTAGGAGTATAATTTGTCATACTACTTTACCAGATTCCCTCTGGGGAGAGGCACTGAAAACTGCAGCTTACATACTTAACAGAGTTCCCACTAAAGCTACAACTAAAACCCCTTATGAAATTTGGACTGGAAAGAAACCCAGTATAAATCATTTCCATGTTTGGGGTTGTCCAGCTGAGGCAAGGCCTTATAGGCCAAATGAAAAGAAGCTGGACTCAAGAACAGTTAGTAGCTATTTTGTAGGATACTCTGAGAGGTCAAGGGGGTATAAATTTTACGATCCCACTACCAGGACTATTTTTGAGACGGGTAATGCCCGGTTCTTTGAGGATATTGAGTTTGGGGGGTGGGGAGATAAGGTTAGAGATTTTGTCTTTGAGGAAGAACATGTTACTCTTCCTTCAGTTGTCATTGAACATGATCAAGATATGTTTATTCCTAATGATGTTCAAGAAACAACTCCAGTTCATGACAATCTCGAAAACATCCCCAATCAAGTACCTGAATTTATTAATGAGGATCAAACTCAACAACCTCAAGAACCTGAGGTGCCATTAAGGAGATCCACTCGAGAGAGGAGAAGCGCAATTCCGGATGATTATATTGTATTTCTCCTAGAACATGAGAAAAATTGGGAATTGGTGGAAGAAATAATTGTCTTCCTCCAAGAACAAGAATCGGATGTTGGTTTTGCGGAAGATGATCCAATCAACTTCCGTCAAGCCATGGAAAGTTCTAACTCTCAAGAATGGATTAATGCCATGAAAGATGAGATGAAGTCTATGAGTGACAATGACGTTTGGGAGATAGTCTCATTGCCTGAAGGTATTAAACCCATTGGTTGTAAATGGATATTTAAAATCAAGAGGGATTCAAAGGGCAATGTTACAAGGTTTAAAGCTCGTCTTGTTGCTAAAGGCTACACTCAAAAGAAAGGAATTGACTATAAAGAGACTTTCTCTCCGGTATCCTCGAAAGACTCTTTTAGAACAATAATGGCATTAGTGGCACATTTTGATCTTGAGCTTCATCAGATGGATGTAAAAACTGCGTTTCTAAATTGTGACATTGAGGAATCAATCTATATGGAGCAACTAGAAAACTTTGTTTCGGGGGATTCAAAGAAAATAGTTTGCAAATTAAAGAAATCCATCTATGGGCTCAAACAGGCTTCTCGTCAGTGGTATCACAAGTTTCATAAAATCATTATATCTTTTGGTTTTCAACCAAATGTCAGTGATGATTGTATATACCACAAGTTCAGTGGGAGTAAGCATATTTTCCTGGTCTTGTATGTTGATGACATACTGCTTGCTACTAACGATATAGGCTTACTTATTACACGAAACTAAGAGATTTCTTTCAAAGAATTTTGAAATGAAAGATCTTGGTGAGGCTTCTTTTGTATTAGGAATTCAAATTCACCGAGATCGCTCCAAAGGCGTTCTTGGACTCTCACAAAAGAGCTATATCGATAAGGTTCTCAAAAGGATTGGTATGCAAGACTGCAAACCAGGAGATACCCCAGTTTCTAAGGGAGACAAGTTTAGTCTCATGCAGTGCCCTAAGAATGGTTTTGAATCTAAAGAAATGAGGAACATTCCTTATGCTTCGGCTGTAGGAAATTTGATGTATGCCCAGGTTTGTACAAGGCCTGATTTGGCATACATTGTTGGGATGTTAGGCAGATATTTGAGCAATCCGGGAATGGACCATTGGAAAGCAGCCAAAAGGGTCATGCGGTATTTACAGAGAACAAAGGAATATATGCTCACATATCGGAGATCGGATCAACTTGAGATCATTGGGTATACCGACTCTGATTTTGCTGGATGTCAAGATAGCTTGAGATCCACTTCAGGCTACATCTATATTCTAGCTGGAGGAGCTATCTCCTGGAGGAGTATCAAGCAGACTCTTACAGCTACTTCCACCATGGAAGCAGAGTTTATAGCATGTTATGAGGCATCCAATCAGGCATTATGGCTGCGAGATTTTGTTAGTGGACTACGCATAGTGGATAGCATTGAAAGACCACTTAAGCTATTGTGTGACAATAGATCAGCAGTCCTCTATGCTAAGAACAACAGTAGTTTGACCAAGGCAAAACACATTGGGGTCAAATTTAAGGCTGTTAAGGAACGAGTACAAGAAGGAAAGTTATCTATAGAGCACATTAGCACAAACTCCATGATTGCGGATCCGCTCACTAAAGGATTACCACCCAAAGTGTTTCATGAGCATGTTGCTCGAATGGGTGTCAAATCAGTTGAGGATTATGAGTTTTAGTGGGAGTTTGTAATGTTTCTATATTTGGTTAATTGACTTGATTCAAGTTTTTAAGGTTATTTTCTGCAGAAATTAAGTTTAAAGTTTTATGTACTCTTACAGTTATATTATTGATCTCAAGGTGGACCAGTTGGAAATAGACATTCTATTCCAGACCACACTTTATGTTATTTCCACGCTACACACCTATACTTGATCCATGTCGTTTATTATATTAATATATGTGATCATTGATGGGTCTAGTTATTCAAATATAGCAAAGACTTCTTTGATCCTATGTTGATATAATTAATGGACCGGATTGATTAAAGATGACTACAGTTTGATAGCAAAATTTTGGAGCTCCTAAAGTAAACATACAATTCTGAGGATTGTGTATACATGTGTATGTCGTCCAAGTGGGAGATTGTTAGATTATTGGACTTATATTGCATGTAATATTCACAATATTTTATTTATCGGGTTTAATTGTATGTTATATGCTATCTTATATTTAGGCCCAAAAATTAGTGGTCCTATGGATATTAATTTAAGTGGGCTAATAAATTATCTAATAAGGTATATGGCCCAAATGTGTAGAGACCCATGGGCTTGACCTAATCAATGATGGGCTGATTAGGGTTAAGCACTCTCTATAAATAAGGGGTTATGGTCCCTAGTTGAACACGCCATTCTGTCTTTCTGCATCTCATCGCTAGAGAGATAATCCTGAGGGTGTGTATCAACTAGAAGACACAAACCCTAGCCTCCGTCTCCCGGATCTCTAAAGGTCATCTCCCATGGAGTCAGGTACGCTTCCGCTCAGTTAATTCTCCAGATAATTTCAATATGAAGATTAAAGTATTCATGGATTTATTCCAACAGAGGGCGCTTTGAAAGAGCTTTCCAAGGGCTTGAAGCCTTTACTGTCATCACTGCAGTCCTTCCCACTGGCTGCTTCAATCTGCCCCAAGGTTCATGCTCATCCATCTTATTGCAAGTGCTGCCATTATTCTCCGGTGCTACCTTATTGCATTCAAGGCACTTTATTCACAAATGAGTAACAATTGCTTAGTTATGTACGCGCATGTTCACAGACTATATCGATAGTCACAATCAAAATACCGGATTCAATTATCAAGTTTAACCAAAACAAAAATTAAAGAAAAGAACACACGATATGTTGACGCAGTTCGGATAAATCCTACTCTGCGGGGTTTCAACAGGGGAAACCCGGTCCCAAGAATCCACTAGCTCAGAATAGTTTGAATACACAGATGGTTGCAAAGCAAGGAACGAAAATAACAGATCTAACACATAAGAATCAGACAAAAATAAGCATACGAATAAAATAAGAAAAGGAACAGAAATAACCGGACGAAACTATCAAAACCCAGGAGTTATCAGATTCTTGGACTCGAATCAACTGCTCTGGATCTACGCTTCACCACACGGTTTAATCCTCGCCTTTCTCAGCTTATTCTGGACTCAAGTGTATCACAGATCACGAAGAAGAAAACCAGATGTTAACACTTTGCAAGCTCTCTCTCTATCGCCTCTCTGTATTAGGGTTTAGTAAAAATGACGCAAAAGATGTCTCCAGAAGGTAAGAAGGAGACCCTTTATATGCGAGAGAAAGAGCTGGGTCAGATAAGGAGAACCGAGCTCACCAAGGAATAAATCAGGCCCAAACCAAAGAGAATAAGACTGAAACGGGCCAGACCTATTTTAATGGTCCAATTGAATAAATCAATTAGAGTCCATTAAATATAATTACTTTCTAACCTTGCTTTACCTTCCTATCTAAGTATTAAAACATCATGTATAATATAACTAGAATTAGGATTACCAATATAACAATTTGCCCTCCTAAGACTAATTCTGGTGCAGCACAGCTCATAAGAGCAGATATCATCATTGCTAGTGTTAGGATTCATGAAACCAGATAACACCCTTTCATCATCAACCCAACCAAGTAC